ACCCCTTTTTTAAGGGGTCTTTAGTTTTCTATGTTATATTTTGTGTACTGTTGTTTGTCTTATGGGCCTTTTCTTTTTTACAATGGCGTTGTCAGTTTATTTTCGACTGTAACTTCGGTAACGTTCGCCTCTTCTTATCGGCCTTGAATATAAAACAAATATTAGGTATAATTGCCATTGACAAAACTATCTAACGACTATTTTTACCCTTTTTAGCGATTATCTAAAAAATATATGATAGAAAGAGAGATACTTTGAACAGGTAGCAAAAATTAAAAGCCAGACAAAATCTAAAATACGTCCATATAGCAAAAATTATCAGTCTACTCATCATAGTTGTTACTGTTCTTGCTTTTATAACAAAAACAGCAGTAGATAGTAAGGGAAGAGATGTAAATAGCAAAATTAACAAAAACAAACTAAATTCTACATACCAGTGAAAGTGGTTGTAGTCGTCAGTCGACTCGTTAAAGGCGTTATTGTCCTTACTCTGACTTTTTTAGGCGTTTTAACCTTATATATTGAAATTATAATAAATATAAAACTGAAACTCATTAGCAACACAGGATCTCTACAACGTTGATGTGAATGAATTTGTTCTTAATCACTATGTTTACCCATTTTGGTGTTTTTATTCTTTATTTTTCAATATATGATGGGTACACACACATAAACTTTGTCCACCAACATTTTATCAGCAATACAAATTTTTTACCAAACAGTTTCCCATAGCAACTAATAAAAAATCATGTGTCTAAGACTAAATAACCAATCAGTACAAATTTAACATCCTCTTGATTAAGTGTAAAGACGTCATATACAGTGAGAGAAAACCAAATCTTTGTATCTATGGAATAAATTAGTAAAAGTTTTAGATAATGTGGGTTTTTTTTGTTACAAAAATTCATTGAAATTCAAAACGTCACTACAGACATGGGCAGAGCGAACGAGTTGTGATATATAAACACCGTAAGATGGTTACAAAGGAACATCATCGTCCAAAAGGACGAAAATTAACAATAGGGAACGACAAATCGTGCCTTTTGTCGTAAAAATATGTGAAGAGTTTCCCGTTCTCTAAATCTAGGAAAAGACAGTTATTACCCGTATGCAGGTTTATGCATTGATTTATGATGATTGCATCGAAATCTAAATCTGACTTCATTTTCTAAACTATGCGACACGTGATTGGCCAGAACGTTTCGATTGAGCTGTCACGAATAGCTGATCGGGTACCTTGTTATGATAGAAGTCATTGTCAACCGTCCAACGAAAACACGTTAAAATGGAAGGATGTTGCTTGCATTTTGAGGTAAGTTTGTTTCAAATCATTTTAGCCTTCTACTGCCTTGGTTCGTCGATATTCATTTCATTGATGATTGAGTAGGACTGTAGATAAAGCTGCATTGTTTACTTTTAAAGGGGCCTTATTTGTTACACGTTTCGCTGTCAAGATGAATAGAGCAGTCTGTTTAGACAAACTTTCTATTAATAATTTATGCAAGTCAACACTACTTTTATCGCTTATAAACAATCCTATTTATTGACCATTGACTAAGTAACTCTATGTCGACATTTTGCAGACTGACCTGCCAAGAGAGATGTGGGTCCAAGATTTGTAAATAGGGGCCCATGATGGTAATCAACAATGCAACGTAAGGAGTAGAATTTGTTAAAAGTCCGAGCACCATGATTAATCGTTTTTTCATTCCACTATGTGTTTATTCCGGTCAACTATTATTTACTAGAGACTATTGTATGTAAATAGTGTGAAAACCGTTGTTACGTTTTATGTTAGACTAGTTTATTGTTTACAAAAATGAATAGGTTAAAATGAAATTAATTTTCAGGGTATCAATCCTGCAGCATTTTTGTTTGTGGATATAAAACACCAGGAGTTGTCATCCTTCGGATATAAATTACACAGGCGAAAAAATACATAAATCACCTATGCAAGTTTTGGTAACATCAAATACCCCAAAAACCAAGCCGCATTTTGTTTTATATCTTCCCTTCAAGAAAACCCTCTTCTAAATCTTATGGCGAGTGCTGGATATTTTACACTAGAAAAAACCTTGAATGCATATCATTATTCGAATTATACGTTGGAGGCAAACACTTGTCCTATTAAGATCTATTAAGTATATTTTGAGCATGAATCTCCAGACTGCTCTGATTGCACATGCAATTGGTGTATATTCCAATGTATAGCATATACTAGTCAACAAAAGTAACGATACACAAGTTTGAACTCCAATTTATCATAAATAGGAAATACTGTTAAATTATCCAATGAAAAACATTCATTTGCAAAGCAAATGCATATGAATAAAAGAATCTGACCAAATTTGAAAGTGAGAAAATACCGTGTTATTAAATACAGGGGTCAAATTTATTTTGCGGAAAATGATGACAAAAGTCGGCACTTAATTTCGAAGATGAGAATTGAGTATTCAAATATCTGCAAAGGCATTCAAAATTTTAAACAGCCAATGTTTAAGTTTAAGGTTTTAAGTTCTAATATCGATTTTTGAATTTTTGGGTGAAAATACGATTTTTGAAATCAATGGTTTTAATAAGAAAATAACACTCTGTAAATATTGAACCAATTGAGCAATTATTTACCTTGGTCCAGTGCATCCAATTTCATTATATATGGAATGTGACCTACCGAATTAGACTATTTACCGACTGTGTAATAACATGAGCAACACGACGGGTGCCACATGTGGAGCAGGATCTGCTTACCCTTCCGGAGCACCTAAAATCACCCCCAGTTTTTGGTGGGGTTCGTGTTGCTGTTGTACCCCTATTTGTGACATTTTTACCTATTGTGTTTGTTTTGTTCCCACATCGTTGGTGGCATTTGATGCAACTGTCATTCAAGTGAGAGGTTTGGCTAGCTTTAAAACCAGGTTTAATCCACCATTTTCTACATAAGAAAATACCTGTACCAAGTCAAGAATATGACAGTTGTTATCCATTCGTTTGATGTCTTTGAGCTTTTGATTTTGCCATTTGATTAAGGACTTTCCTTTTTGAATTTTCCTTGGAGTTCAGTATTTTTGTGATTTTGCTTTTTTCTTATCAGGAGAAACATTTCATTTTAGGACTTTATTACCGTTCGTCATCTTAAAGTTTTTAAAAACTACGGTAAGTAAAGTTAAGTATGTAAACAAGTTAATCTTATTTACAGTCGTCACATATGTGGAGCTGGAAATGAACATGAGGGTACAAAAGCTCTTCACAAGGTATATGTTTGCTAACGCTAGAGTGCCACCCCTCTTTTTTCCTTCATATCATTCGTATTCACTGATTCTTTCAAGATACATGAACCCATTCAAGTATAAAAAAATAAATAAAAAAACATTGTTTTACATCTTTAATGTGTCCATTTCAAGTTAAAAAAAAAAATATCGAAATGTCGTTTATTTCATTCCGGGAATTTCACACCATTAACATGATAAAAAGGAATAATTGAATCTGAATCATTTTAGCGTTTAAATGTCGCTGCGAAAGGACTTGTGTATCATTCATTTATCAAGATTGCATTGGCACACCCCGTGAATATTTATTGATCTATTTAAAACTTGACATATTTATTCTTGGAAAGCTCATGAATACCGAGATTGCTGTTTTTTGTTTTAAAAATTAACACAACACTTCTGAAATTGACAAGGAATTTGGTTTTTGGTGTAGACATGGTTGGATTTTATGTCACTTTTGTTATTTTTTTATTAGAAAAAAGGCATATTTTAAGAAAGAAACAGCTGTTACGGGAAAGATAACATCTTTGTCAACCAAATACAACGTTATTTTCATTCATTAGAGTAATTACATTAGGGGTTTGCCGGGCTCTTGAAGTTGAAGATTCACACACCGTCTTTGAATGTCGCCTGTTACCATGGTAACCAAGTGGGCGGTTCTGAGACACCAGAAATTGAATGTTTTGATGATAGAAATTAGTTCTGGGTATGAAAGTTTCTTGAGAAAAATTCAAAATAATTTCAAATTCAAATGATTTTTTATGAATAAAAAACCAATTTACCGTAGAACAGACCATTTACCTACCTGCGCCTTTTATTTTTGATTTTTTAAAGTAAGTTTTTTTTAGGTAAACTTCGGCAGTACAATTAGGGAATTATTAATTATTTAAGGAAAAAAATATCATCAAGATAGCAATAAGTGTTTTTGAATTAATGAATTAGATGGAAAATAGACGAGCTTTTATTTATCTGGCAGATAATTTTTGCTGCATGTTCATAGTGTCTCTATATCTATCATAGTTTTCAAGATTATATCCCAAAAACAAACCGAAAGAGTAAAAATAGTCGTTGGATAGTTGTCTCAACAGGCAATTATACCTCATATTTTTCTATTTAAGGGTGACATAGGATCAACTGACAATTACACCATTAAACTTATGGCTTTTATTTTGCTGACATCCATCCCTTATCCCTAATAACAAACAAAAAAGACACTAAGTACAGACATGATAGTACTCGCAATTACTGACAGCTAGTTCAAGGCCAATAACAACTGATAAAACAATCATGTATCTAAGACTAAAAGAATGTGTTGGCTTTTAAATGTCTGGTAACTTTTTTGTTTGTTGAGTAATTCTTTCATTGATGTATACAAATCATATTTTTTTTATTAAAAAGAATACACAATTGGTTACATAACATTAGACGTTAACTTTTCATAATAATTAAAATTACTGACGCATCATATGCATGCAACAATTGTATCTATATTGGTGTATTTTGTTCTATTATTTACACAATATGTGCAACAGATGTGTCTATTTTATTAAACGATATGTAAAAAAGATTTAAATAATCAAACTTTTATGTTAATATAACTTTGTTGATTATCAAACGTACTAAATCATCTTACTCATACCACAATTGAATATATGTTGGCGTATTATGGTCTATTATTAACACGAAATGTGCAACAGCTGGATCAATTATATTAAATGAAAATGTTACTTAATATATTGTACAATGTTGTGGGCTGATAGATTACTAATATTTCCGTTCATCGACGGAAGAGGTGTATGTAAACTTTACTTATAATACTGCTGTAGTTGTGCAATTATCGTGTTTGCAATAACTAGTAACCAACCAACTTCGCTTGCTTGGTAAGTCTTTACTCGTAAATTAATATTTAGTCTGATACTTGTTTTGTTTTGTTTTTACTATACTATAATAATGAGTTCTTATAAGTTGAAGAACAATAATTTCATTTAAATGATACGTACAATATTGGGATTCTATACCTTCTTTATTTTAAGCCAAAAAATAGGAGACAATTATAGTAAGTTATCTTTTAGACGTGCACAAAGCGTGCGTTATTCCCCATAACTTTTGACATTGCAATGATCGGCACAAAAAGGATGAAGGTTGAGTAAACATATGACTTTTTTACCCCGAAACATTAAACAGTGTCTTTCCAAGTACAGGAACTTAACTATGTCAGCATTTGTCTGGTTTTATGTTATACAATTTTTTAAGATACTAATTAGCTTTTTATGTGTATTCATTATCACAAATGAAATCCTACTAGAATTATGTGTTCTAGTGATAATAGTTAGACTCGCTTGCAGATATCGTCGTTAACGGCCAATACTAAAACAAAAGTTAAAAACGAAAGGTTTTACATCTGAAAAGATTTCATCAACTATTATTTTCATTAGCACCTGCTAATTTTTTTTAGGTAACTACGGGAATAGTAACATTAACGGTACCAATTGCTATGCACCAGATGCGCATTTTGACATTTAATGTCTCTTCAGTGATGCTCGAGGCCGAAAGTCCAATCACTCTTAAACAGTTAATGTCAAAATAATAAAAATCAAACTTGAATTGTATTTCACGGTCTTTGAAAATTCAGTTAAAACACAAAAAAAATGGAAGACTTCTACCTCAATTTTTAACCGGAAATTACAAAACAAAATAGGTAGTTTATGATCCATGACATTGTGTCCAATGTGCATTTGATTTAGTAGAGTGGTGCTTTGATTATCAACCAGAAACCACACAAAACCAATTCTTAATGTAACTAAGGGCTTTTATTAAATGGTAAATGTCAAAACCATCAAATTCACACTTGACCTGTATTTTTTGGTCGACGACATTGTGGTAACGTTTCAACAGATTTGGTCAATCGGTATTATCATTATCATCTGGAAACTGAAGAAACCCCAACTTTTGTATGATTAAGAAGCATAACTTTTGAACGGTACATACATGACATATCAAACAATTAATATCGAATTTAAACGTATACTTTATGGTTCATGACATTGTGTTAACAAGTCTTAAGTGATGTTTTAATTATCACCCGATAACTAAACTAATGACAAACGTATGGATGGACGGGCGTGTGCATCACTTTGTAACCCCTTCTTCGAGGTAAGTGTATTAAAACATGATGTGGCTAAACAGTCGGAAAAAAGTTAAACCATTGGTTATGATTACGGTACCAATACCATTTTTTTCCTTTCCTGTTACAAACCGTTAATTATTTATTGAAGGGTTCATGGTACATCTTAAAAAAGGATAAAAAGTTACACATTTGAAGGACCGTCTCAACCCCTTTTAATTTTTCTGAATAGACTCCTACTCGTTTTCTTCCTCGTTCTCTTCTACAATTTTCCGAACTACACGAACAAAAATGAAATTGTGTTTTGATTATTGATATTAAAATGTTAACCGTCGTTCAGAGAAGTATAAAAATATTTTTATTGAAAATGACAAATACTAAAGTCAAACTATGTTTACGATTTTCTTTTTTTTTTTTTTATTTATGTTTTTTTCAGTTAAGTATTTTTAATTTCGTTATAAGTGTTCTGTATGCTGGTAAAAAATCTGAACACATAATTTTTATTTTGTTTTCCCAGAAAAGAGTGATAAGAGTTCAAGTTGGACAGATGTTTCATGGATGTTATAAACTAGAAGTTGATTCAAGTTCCAAGTTGATATTGTTCAGTTTCAACTTGATACTTTTCAGTTTTATATTATAACTGAGAAAAGTGAAAGGCAGTCTGATTATTTATTTTCTCTCAGACCAGGACCAGAACATTTATTTTCTGCTAGTCCAAAAAGTAAATTCAAAATTACCCCCCCCCCCCCCTTCCGTATCATATGGTCCTCTTTTCTGGTAGAACACAAGTTCAACTTCAACCGAAAAGAGCTGCCAAAAAGAAGTCTAAACATTGATTCTATTGAAATATAAAAATAGGGGCGAATCAATGGTCTGAGGCAAGACTATTAATTTTCAACGAAATGGGCACCAGAATATTAAGTTACAACTTTACCAGCCACTCCCAACAGAATACTTCGCTTAGGATAAGTGGTCATCCACTTAGAACGAGAAGTCATCTACTAAGGATGAGTGGGTACTAATTGTCGATCTGATAAGTCAAACCTTTCAAAACGTATTTCGATAGTTTGTTCTTATGTTGTGCTGTTACATGACTGTCAGAGGATACTGTGGGGGTAAATTGCGCACAAAATAAAATGAGAAGATGTTGTATGATTGTTAAGCGGAAAAAACATGAATGGAGAACTAGCAAAAAATATGTATACCATTTGAGATATCCAATGAACACATTTATTGTAAAACGACATGTGTTATTATAAAAATCAAAACAATTGAAATTTACAGGAATTTTCTATTCATGTTAATAAAAGTATATCACTGTAACGGATGTCATTAAGATTATCATAGTGATATACAGACTATCAACACAGCATCATAATGCGAAGGCTAGGCAGCCAGACAAAATATCTATGTAATAAATAGTTATGGTCAGACATGTGTTGATGGAACATTTATATATTAATTTTACAATATTCTTTCTGGCGTTGATATAAAATAAAGAGATGTGGTATAGTTGCCAATGAGACAGTTATCCACATAGTCCATTGACGTGCGTTGACGCAAATATAGCTCAACATACAGTCTTAAAGTAGAACAAAATCCACACTATACTGTATATAATTGCTTCGAAAATTTAAAGCAATTCAAGTAAAGACAACCAACGGCTTGATTTATAACAAATCAATAAACAAAAAAAAAAACAGATATTGGTAATCTTGAAAAAGAAGACGAAGATACTCATTCCGAATTAGTTGATGATGCGAGGTATAAACAAAACAGAAGTTGAAATATACGGTTCTATGTAAACTCCTGCTACATATATCGTCAAAGACCCATATCTTGATTATAACCTGTCCTACCTTCTTGACAAATAATATGTTATCTACACAGACAAATTTAACTGCATTAACAAATTCAAAATTGCATTTTTAAATAAGAAAATGAAAATGGTGCCTGTATGAGTGAACATTTCCAATACCAAAATTGAAATGGCGAATGTCCCAATAGGTATCGAAAAGGGAAATCAATCTCAAAAATTCGTTTTTTTTTTTTAAATGAAAATGAAAATGGCGAATGTCTGAGTTAGAATTTCTAACTAAATTTTTGAAATTAAGGTTGTTAAAATGCATATTGAATTAGGAATTAAAATGAAAATGAATATCAAATAGCAAAATAAAATCGCAGAATATGTATATGTTCGATGATTAACACGAGTATTGTTTAAATTTGAAAGCAGAAAAGGAAATAGGAAACAGCTTGTGTCCGGTGATAATTTTGATAATGCACAAATATATTGACTTATTATATTGTAAGCTGATAGAAATTTTGTTTAAGATACTATAAACAGCGAATAATAAGTAAATATCAGTTAATTTCATTTTAAGTGTACAAAAGGGGGGACAGCCTTGACTACCAATGAGGTTCTTGCACGGTCGGCCCTGACCTACGCCTTTGTGGGCATTTTAATAATTTATTTTTATCTGATGGCAATTGATATAATTTTGAGTGACAAAAAAATAACATGAATAACAAGTAAAATTACCAGTAGTTTGCTAAAAAAAAATAATTACATGTAAATAAATAAATTGATGAATAAATATAAAGATACAAATAAATAGAACTTAAAGAAAAAAATAAAAATGAAAAAAAAATTGTTAAGAACAAAACAATAAATAAAATAAACATGTCAGGGCCTTTTATAGCCGACTATACGGTATAGGTCTTCTCATTGTTGAAGGCCGTACGGTTGCCTATAATTGCTTACATTCACTTTATTTGAACTTTGGTGTATAGTTTTCTCGTTTGCAATCATACCTCGTGTCCTAATTTTTTTTTTCTAAATATGTGTTTGTATATTTTAGGAAAGTTTTATGTACATAAAATAGTAAATGAGAAAAAATCAAATGAAATAAAATCAAATGATGTATGTATAATGTTGACTGCTTTGTGCTAGCCTACTGTTATTGTACGTCTTTAAATTGTTAGAACATGTGTTTTTTGTCTACAATACCTGCTTAAATTATTAAAAATACCTTCCAAAAATGTTTTAACAAAAACGCTTTTCCTCCCTAATTTTTAAATTTATCTGATTGATAATTGTTTCCAAGATTTTTAACTTAGTTCTTATAAAAATGAGAAGATGAAGTATGATTGCCTATGAGCAAACTCTCCACACGAGACCAAATGACACAGAAATTATTAGCTATTGGTCACCGTACGGCCTTCAACAACGAGCAAAGCCCATACCGCAAAGTCAGCTATAAAAGGCCCCGAAATGACAAGGTCTCGTAAAACAATTCAAACGAGAAAAACTAACTAATAATGAACGAAAAAAAAAACCAAAACAAATATGTTACACAGCAACAAACGACAACCAATGATTTACAGGCTCCTGACTATTTATTATTAATCTTCCATAATGATATCATGTCTAAAAATAATAATGCATTTTGAATAAACACATGTAGTATCAATGGACAAAACAGTCATCATACATAAGCATAGATAATATAATAATAGAAAGGAAAATACATTTAGTCATTTCATATACTAGTATACTATGAATAATTTCTGACCATCACAGGTGTATATCCTATTTCATTATAAAACTTGTTGACGAGAAGCGTTTTGTAATACAGGAATAGAACCACTATTTCAGGCCCAATTTGAAAGAACATACAAGAAAGTAGTACACAAAACCATTCCTACGCCTAATTGTAACTTTGTCAATAGATAAAAAAATATTTTTGTTATGAAGAGAAAGCTTACGGACTATGGGTCATATGTGAACTGTTGTTTAGATCAGAAGTACCTGTTTTGGTATAACCAAACTTTTAGAAACCAGTGCGCTCTAATATGGAAATCTAATATGACATTCCTCAAACGCTTTGAGTACACACTCGTGGTAAACTATGAATATATTGTTTGGACTGTTCCAATCATACTCCAACGTCATATGTTTTTTATTTTATGAATGAGCTACCCGACGTCATCGAACGATGACATAAGAATAAAAGCATATTACGAGAAACTGCACGATTGTGAAACCGAAAGTCTTCAAAACAAGGAAACATTAACAAACGATGATAAAATGTGTTATAAGCCAATTTTTATTTTTACATATAAGTAAAATTATCATTCAAATTTATCCAAACCTATTCAAATACGTGTTTGTAAATGGTTTAAGCATGACACTGGCTCAGTTTGTTCCGTTCATTTACATCAATATAATAGTGTGTTTATTTACGGGAACGACAAATATTTGCCTTCATCTAGAGCGCTTTGATCCAAAAGAATTGCCGTATTTGTCCTATTAGAATAGAAATAATTCAGGAGGGGGGGGGGGGTCTGAATTTATACTGAATTTACCAAGGGTTAGCCCTTTTTGTCGATATTTTACCCCTAGCTATCGCGCGTCGTAAAATATCTAGCATAAAGGGCCAACTTCTGGTAAAATCAATATAAAATCATGCCCCGAAGGTATGTTGAATTTTTCAGCACAAATCAGGGTCAGGTAAAGTTTTTACATGAAAAGATTTCACTTTATTTGAACTTAAGACAAAATAGGTATGAAAGGTTCAAATTGCAGGAAATAATGTTGAAAGCAAGGGAGCAATGAATTAGTGGTTTAATTCCTACAAGAGGAATTTCAGACTGTCCGCCTAGAACAACTGGGTATTCAGAAACTTAATTTCGTTTTTATGCATTGATAGCAATTCATGTCAATTTAGGCTTTGAACGTTTCTGATGAAGGTAAATCCAGAAAAGCGCTTGGGACGAATTTAATTTATAACCTGTTTGTTTTAATTTTTTAAAACATTCAATTAACGAAGCTTTTAATTTTTGCCAGATCAATTGCCTCAATATTTACAAAATGAGAACCAGGATGATACATTCAAGTTTTCTGTTGATCTGTTTATTCGCAATGTCAGAGCAATGTGCATGTCCAGTCCAAATTACACAGGCAATTGTGTGTTTCGACCCAATAGGTAAGACAGTATTGGTTAAAAAAAAAAATGACCAATTTTTGCGTCTAGCCTTTCTAGTTAACTTCGCTGTTCATTTCTTTTCTGGAAATTTTTACTGTGTTGATAAAGGCATATAGAAACGGAATGTCTATTTATTTTCGTCTCGCGAAATAATTTGGTTTACTATATTTTATCAATAGCTTTCTGTACGGTTTAAAAATGATACCGAGGTATAAACTAGCTTGGAAATAAGAAACTTCTAAGTTTATAACTACAATTTATTTACACTCTGAAATATATCATTCATTTGTCTATGGCCTCAAGAACGTTTGGAACTGGATATCTTTTCTTTCATGTTTTGTTCGGTTTGGTTGTAAAAACTTAAAATTTAACATATATACATTAATTATTTTTGTCCTGCGTTTCAACTATTATTTCTTCTGAATTTATTTCAATCATAATGATCAAAGTCAAAAATGTGTAAAACCAGTTTATCACATACCCATACACAGAAAATTGTATTCAGCGATGGAAACTGTTTGATATGATAGAGTAAAACATAATTTTATTTTTAGAATATTGTTTTAGTTTGGTTAAGCACTTCTCATAGTTTCGCTGATAACTCAAAATGTTTTCAATTTACCTACAAAACAGTATTGACGAATCTTAAGTCCAATACTATTTGGTTAAATACGCCAAAGTACATCAACGTACTCACATGAAGCTGTCAAACTAAGAATTCAATTAAAGAAAGAAAAATCTTTTAACAATTGGGTTTGAAAAACAGAGGAAATTGCCCCTACCATGAATACGACTATTTCTGACAAGAATCGATGTCCTTTTAGACAAGACCTCAAATTCAATATCACTGAACAACAACAGACATTGTTGAATTTAAAAACAAGAAGATGTGGTATAATTGCAAATGAGACATCTCTCCATAAGAGATCAAATGACATAGAAGTTCATAACCATATGTGACCGTAAGGCCTTCAACAAAAACCCATACCGCAGATTCATCTAGACAATTGCATTCTTTCAGTATATATACTCATATTTCAAAAATGATATGGGAAATGGAAGTTCTATCACGTTTTAGGCACACGGACCTTTGGCCTTAATTTCGTTTACAAACGAGAACATGCTAACATGGATTAAAATTATAAAGGAAAGTATAATGTACCCTACTAACCACAAACGTATGACTCGTCCATCAAAAACGGTGTTTAAACACAGACAAACATCAACAAACAATACATGATTCGGATATCCTGACTCGGCAGGGTCACACAATGTGGTTTTTTACAGGTTTTACGTGTACACAAACACTCGCTTTGTTTGTCTATACCAAATGTCGTAAAAATAAAACAAAGCATAGAAACATAGTCTAACTACCCAAAGGATGATCACTAACTTAAAGAAATATAATAAACACTGTGAAATATGCTCCTCTGTATGGAAAAGCAAACTATTTATTTTTTTTATTTTTAGGATGAAATGTTCACAAATGCAACAACATTTAAAATTTTAAATATTTTTGCCAAAAACAAAAGAAAGAAACTAAACGTCAGACGTGCGTTTAGTCTACATGAGACTTATTAGAGAGACTCGAATCAAGAGAGTTGGAAGGTCACATCAATGCGAAAGCGAAGAGCATAAAAGCAGAAAATTCCGAACAGTTGTACCAAACACCAAACACGAATAAGACAATCATTGAATAGTTTAACATTGTTATCGAGATCACATACAGATATGGATGTTGCGTTTATAGGAATACAATTCACACTTTAAATCACATTACTGTTGTCATCCAATCAAAATGATTGAATATTTATGAAACATGGGAAACATTTAAGTACATAAATAATAATAATATTAACATCGTACGAGAGAGCAAAAGGCACAGTTATTACACATCAGAAGAACAATGGGTTTCAGCAGATATTGAACTCGTTTTATTAGGAGGTTAAAGTAATTGCGAAAACAACTAAGACAGTAATTTCGGATATTTATATATAAGAAGATGTGGTATGAGCGCCAATGAGACAACTCTCTGTCTATCTGTTTTTTTTTGTCATCATATTGATCAAACGATCAATGCAGGTACAATCGCATGAATAAAGGATAATTTGTGCTTCGATTTCAGTCGTTGAGGCTAAAATTGAATCAGTCGCAGAAAAGAGTTATTACACCAACTACCAAATATCCGTGACAAAATTCTATAAAGTAAGTATATATCATTTTTAATTTTAGTTTCCTTTGTATAATTTGGAGTTTAGTATGACGTCCATTATCACTGAACTAGTATACATATTTGTTTAGGGGCCAGCATTAGGACGCCTCCGGGTGCGGGAGTTTCTCGCTGCATTGAAGACCCATTGGTGGCCTTCGGCTGTTGTCGGCTCTATGGTCGGGTTGTTGTCTCTTTGACGCATTCCCCATTTCCATTCTCAATTTTACTGAAATTGTCATCATCATCATAAAGTTTTGTTTATAGTATTATTGGCGTTGGGCCTGATTTTTTTTTGGAAAGGGGGGGGGGGGGGGGGGGTGGGGTTATTGTTTTTTTTTGTTAATTCCTATTAAAAATTTTGCCTTTCGAATCATGATTTCTGATATATTTTAAAAAATGGCAGAACATGAGATGTTTTTATGAGAGATAATAGTTATACTCACTTTTTGTAAGGACCAAGTTTTCATTCATCAATTATTTCTGCCGAAAACCTAACAAACCAAACTTTAGTGCAAACACTTTGTTAAAGAAGAACAAATATCGGACAAGGATTTAATAACCGCTTTTTCTGTTTGTTGCCGAAAAAAGTAACTGACTGACACTGGCAACAAAATTTCGGAGGTTAAATGTAAAGATGATATATTATGTTATCACAAGTATGTTTTATTGAGTATACAATACGATATTTTTTTATTTTAATGACTACTATATAAATATTACAACTATTGCAAATAAAGATTTGATAAGATATAGAAACTTTAGTTTCTTTGTTGTATTTGTAGATTTTCGTTAGTCCTGAGATCTGTTTTGCCATGACCTTGTCAATTTGCCGTCAACTTATGAGTTTGAATATCCATTTTTGTCTTTCGCCTCTATTCTATTTCTCAAACAAATTAACTTTATATTTGATAGATATATGTTATAAAATACGAATGTATAATAATGTTTATAATTATCTTTGTTTAACAGAGGAAATGGATAGTAATAGTAATAGATGTGATAGAATAACCTTACAAATAAATGTTTTCAAAATCTTTGTTTAACAGGGAAAAAGGGAGTATGATACATTGTCCAATAAAACGACACTGAAGACACCAAAACATTCTGCAGCATGTGGACCCGTAGTTTTGAAAGTAGGAACAAGCTATATTCTCTCAGGTAAATGTACAGTCGATGTTGAAGCATACTTTGCCGTTTCAGGGTCTTGGGCAGGCTAGGTAATGTTTTAAAAAAGCGTATACTAGTACAATGCTTTTCGTTACCGCATTCTAAACAATGAATGTTCAAGCAAACTATAGTAGCGTTATTTTTGTTTGTGATTAGAAAACAAAGAATTACCACAACTAGGTTTGGAAACGGAACATTTGTTGTTGTAGATAACTTGTTAGTCTAGTTTCACCTACACTTTTTTTAGAACATTGTTTGATTGATTTTTATTCGATCACTAGTTGGTTATTGAATATCTGTTTCACGGATGACGACAAATATGTTGCAATTGTATGACCTACCGAATTGAAATTATCACCGGGTTTGTACTCACGTAAGCAACACGACGGGTGCCACATGTAGATCAGGATCTGCTATAACTTCCGGAGCACCTGAGATCACCCCCAGAGTTTGGTGGGGTTCGTGTTGCTCAGTCTTTAGTTTTCTATGTTGTGTTTTGTGCACTGTTGTTTGTGTGTTTTCCTGTTTAGTCATGGCGTTGTCGGTTTATTTTATCAGTTTGAATGTCCCTTTATTATCTTTTGCCTCTCTTGTACAAGTTTTTAGAATTTTCAGTTTATATCTCGATTGGGGTATTTTTGACTACTCTTGGTATTGTTATGTGAGGAAGTATCATTAATTGGCTAATCCTAATTTTATCAAAAACCAAGAACATAATTCATATACAGTTGTTCTTTCCGGTACGAACAGTCATCAGGCAAACACATACATAGTAATCGTTCGTGTTATTAAGGTATTCCTTTGGATTAGCAGATAAAGGTTATCATAATCAAATGATTGTGTCATTTTATGTACTAATACGATGATGGCAATGTCTTTTTTTTACACTTTATAGTCTCTGCATATGCTGGCATAATGCAACATAACTTATGTGAACTCCAAGTTGAAGCTTCCAGTGCAACGAACACATTGTTAAATGGCATTGCTGGAAAATATCAAGAGAACTGTGATTGTAAGGTATGCCATATTTTTTTATTTTGTATCGAAAAGTCTCACCTCAAATTTCTTAAGTTATGGGTCATCTCCTGACCGGCAGTTTAACTCTTGCCATAGTGGGGCGTCCGTTTGATTGCGCGGGATGTATGATTTCGTTTGCAGCCATGTTCGGTCAGAATGGGGACATTATATCCGATGCCAAGTGTAATGCGCTCATTGCACGTAATGAACCCTTGCAACAAACCTTGAAGGGTCCGTAGGTAATCTGTTTCAAGGTTAAATTCCATTTCCTATCCAATATAACCTCATTTTCCTGTAGCGGTCCAATTTAGCCGACTTTTATTCTATGCAACCCCTAATAAAAGACCTACTTTTCGTATGTTTTGTTAATTTGTTCTCGTCCTGAACATAAATGAATTATTTTCTACTGGACACTAATCGATCAATTCTTTAAATATTTTGAATTTAAAGATATTTGGACCTTTGAACAGTACTGCTTGGAACAAATTAGAAATTGGTGTGTTTTCGTTAATCTGATAATTAATAGCATGTCATTTCAAATTCATTAAACACTAATGAGAAAAAGCATGACTTTATGTTTTATTAACTGATTAAAAATATCAGGGTTATCATTTATTAGTTGTGCTCGAATTAAAACATTTAAATGGTCGAAACATATAGTAACAAAGCTGAAGAGAGTTGAAATCCCAAACGGTTGTCCAATAGCTGTCTAAGGCCATCTATGCATGGGATAGAAAAAATATAAGAGGTTTCGACTTATTTTTGTTTTATGAACCTCATTAAGGCCACAACTAAATATATTTTTTTAAGTCCATTAGAACACCCGAAAAATAGAAACGTTATGTTTACAGGCGTCCTTACTAAAGATCGAAAAAACGAACGTATAGTACCTCGCATGGAATACACATGTATAAAATCAGACGTTTTGCCTTTTATTCCAGGCAACACGTATAAAGGACCTACCTATTGCATGTTTTGTTAATTTGTTCTGGTCCTGAACATACATGAATTATTTTCCACTGGACACTATTCAATCAAATCTTAATATATTTATTACTTTAAGATATTTGGACCTTTGGTAACCAAAACAAACATCATACAAATAGACTCGTAAATAAGGTATCCAATTAATTTTTCATTCTGGAAAAAAGCGATATTATAAGTCAAACGACTTATCATAAGAACGTTTTGCGGATGTTTACCATGCGTAAAACATTCGCGTAGTATCATAAGTTATGCATCCATAGAAAGACACATACGTTTTTTGTATTTAAAACAGACGTTGCTCTTTTCCTTGTCTTGGATTGATTAATTGATTTTTGTTTGCTTAATGTCCTGTTGAAAATGTTTCATGAATGTTCAGGGCTTAAACAAAATAAAGATAATACAATATGCAAGTCTTTTAATTGGGATTCCCTATGATGGTTAGCGAAAAATTTAAAAGGGGAATGAGGGTATAATGCATAGGAATAGTAATTGCGAATTGCAGCACGACACCTGCAGACCGCTTAGAGAGTTGTTGCAAGGGTTCCTAACATAATACTCTTTCTTCACGAGGCATTTGATTTAACGTCTCCGATTAGAATTGACCGCGCACAGACTAAACGACGATCAACTTGTGCATGAGTTTTACAGAAGAACACGGGATTTCCATATCTGTATACCCAAGTCAAACTTGCAGTGCATGTTGTGAAAGTTTCATAATAAATGTACTGTGATTTATATGACGGACAAGCCATAAGGTTAGAGGTAAAGGGGAATTTTAAAGAAACAACCAAATGATTGCACTTGTAACTCGAATTTAACTTGAAAGGACAAAAACGCATTAACGGCATTCAAAAAAGATTAATGAAAATTGAATAAAGATTGACAAAAATTAAAAATTATTTTTAATGCATTTCAATCCATATAAAATCATTTTAATACCAGTCAAATAGTTTCCCTTGCGGTCATTCAAGTTGATTTGAGATGTGGTTAAACTGCGTCAAACTAATTAGCCACGTCCCCGTTAAACGGAATTAAACTGATGTTAAGTCCTTCTAAACTTTAAAGTGTCCGCCTTTTTGTAAGGTAAATCACTCAAGCAGAACAGCATCCTCGTGTATCTATCATTAATCCGCTCCGAGCGTTATCGATTTAAGATATTTTACTGGTGGTTAGTTTTATATATGTTTTCCAATATTGATGTTATACGTAATGTTTTATATGTATATTGGAATGTATAATGTTATACAAGTCGAAGCAAATAATCAATTAATGTGTCGATAAAAAGAACGAATTCTACAATATATAAAATTCTGTCAAAAATCATTTCCTGGGTCAATATTATAAAGTTCATCTGAAAAAGTGATAAAACTGATAATAACATACTAATTCAATTTCATGCAATTAGGTTTTAATGCTAAAAGTTTTAGAAGAAAGAGAGATAAAACAAAAATGCATGCAACCAATTGAATAAAATGGAGAATGGAAATAGAAAATGTGTCCGACAACAATCCGACCAGAGAGCAAAAAGGTATATAAGGCACAAAATTTGCACCATAATTGAGTTACCTTGTTTTGTAATCCCCATTGACATAATGGTTACATTGGTTACAATGGTTACACTCATACAAACTATCATAAATCATATTATTCAGAAATTCTTTTTAGGGATCATTAATGTACGTCCAGTGGCATATAAAAACATGCATGTCGGAACAGGAAAATTGACATAAGGTACTATTAGAACCATGTTCACATTATTATACATTTGACATTTGTCTCTGATTATATCCAACAATTGTGATGATGACGAATTTCTTAAACTGTTCGAAATAATCTAACCGAAAGATAAATCTGTAATTTTCGAGCCTCCGGGCTCATGGTTTCTTTTTCAAGAATCAACGCTTATTCATTGTATCTATACTACAGAATATATACATGTATATACATATTGAATATACGAGAGAAACATTCAAAACCAATCTGATTTAAAAACAGGTCGAAGTATTACTCGCTTTAATTTGGTTCGTCGAAGTTATGAACAAAGTTGTATCTATAAATTAAACTATTGTGTTAATGTCTTTTCAAAATTAAAGCCTTTTCTTAATTATAAGGTATTGTTAGTAAATAACCATGGTAACATGTTAAACGATGCATTACTAAATATAAGATCACAACTAACTGTTTAGAAAAATACAAATATAACACAACACGTCTGCCTTTAAATTATCAGGCATCTGAATATTATCTGTGTTTACAAAATAAGACATATTCGAACTTATTTCTAATTGAGTTGGAAATGGGGAATGTGTCAAAGAGAAAACAACCTGACCAAAGAGCATATATAAAGTATAAGTATGTTACCGAAATTTTTAGCAAGATGCCTAATTCTAGGCACATCACGATTTACTCGCATAGGAATTTGCGAATAAACATTTGTAAAATTATGTAGTAAAACAGATGAAATCTTACTATATTTATAAAACAAAAATGAACAAATTGAATGTAATCATTTTCGTTTCAAATATGTGAAATAGCCAATAATAATCCAAAAAAAAAAACGGCTAAACTCGCTATTATTACAAAAATATCCACAATTACATACAAAATAAGAAAAAAACAGAAAAACTGAAAAATAGGGACAACAAAGAGAATACAGGGATTCGAACCTAAACCGACAAGTCTCTACCTTTAACTTGACTCTTTAATTCATTGATTTTAACCATGCTAACCTCGCGGCTACCAACTTATACTATACGATTGCTAATTATGTATATATAAAGGTACATGCTCTGTGTGTCCGTTATATGTGATGAGTTCATTTATATATATAAAATAGACATTCAAATTGTAACCAATTGGTAGCCGAGAGGTTACGTCGATATGTTGATGTCAGTCACTCATAACAGATTTCAAGGACTGGTTCGATTCCCAGTGGAGGCATATACAAATTACAAAAATTAAAGGTAAGTTTTTAAATTAATTCCATAAGTGAATAGAAATCAGTAAATTAGCTAATTCAAAAATGAAATTAGGCACACAAAGGAAATAATTGAATATAATTTGGTGAATCCATTTCAGCGACAGATTTAGAAAGCGTTGATTCTAGAAAAAGAATCCACGGTAAATGAATAGGCTGACGTCACGACAATGGTTTAACAATTGAGACTATCTATTATTATTATAGTTCCATAACATTCTTTCAAGGCGTATAAACCAATGGTCGCCAAGTGCGTACATTTTGTGAAATCATTTATAATGTGTATGTTTCAAATGTCCATATCTATTGACAACGAGTATATACCCTTGGAAAATATATAAATAGATTTTTATTTTATCAGATCTTTTTTGGGGAATTATTAAGATTTTCATAAATATCATTCTTAACACCAGAAACGTTATTTATAAACAAGCGTATAAGTAATGACTATAGTATATCACTATCGGACACGCAAGACAAAGATGTATATTACACCTGATATTTTCAAAATGGAAAGTTACAAGTTATCGGCCGTGAACACTGATCAATACCCTCAGAGGACAAGTGATGCACCAACTTGCTTTATGTAATTGTGTAATAAGAGTTTTAAAGTCCGACAGGAAATCGCTTGAATACCTGGACGTGTCACCTCACAATACATCTGGGAACAATTTCTTCAGCCATGCTGGTGATCAGATTAGGGAAGATCCGAATTTATTTAAAGAAGTTTACAAAACCGTTTTACATAGAGAAATTATGAACAAACTAGACTTTCGAAAACATTTCTACACGGAACACTTCTTTATGACTTTGAACTTTGACTTTTTAACTAATTTCCATTAATATGACTTTTTTTTCAAAAACTTAATAAAAAATTAGTTTCAGAACGATTCCTTATTTAAAATTTAAAAAAATATGTTATTATTTTAATGTGGCACGCGCTCTTCTTGTGTAATGTCTAATCACCTTGTTTATTGATCCAATAAATCTTTAAGAAATAACTTCAAACTAAAAAAAAAAAAATCTTGTGTTTTCGTAATTAGAAGAGATAAAGAGGTATTGATCTTAAAGTCATGTGAAACCTCAAATAAAACATATGCATATGTTTTTTATAACAAAATGGATAGTTGTCATTATTGAACTTATGTACAAGTGTTATACAAGTGCTCAATATCCATGCTTCTTTGTTGATTGATTTGTTTGACAAACATCATCAGATAATATAATATCGTGTGGAAAAACTACATTTGACAATACGTTTATTATTTATTGATAACACTATCCCATCATGGGCTTGGCCCAGTTAAAGGAGCTTAGTGCACAAAGGCGGCCTAGGTGGTGTTTAGAAGCTCTTGTTAATTCAGTCTCCTGATATAAAGGCTCCAAGGCAGCACATTCGTAGAAATACCGCAAAAGGACCTCCTTCGTACACTAAGAAGAAAAATGTGCACTAAGGGCCTAATGGAATGATAAAACTTTCACAAAGGACATGGCATATAGAAATAGACTTTGTAAAAATGCATTATTTCAAATTTTATGATCATATCTTTTGTGAGGGGGGGGGGGGGGGGGGTCCTGATCCCGAAATCCCGGGCTTAAAAACATGAAATCCCGAAGTCCCGAATTTAAAAAAAAGTTAAATCCCGACATCCCGAAATTCGAAAAACTTTTGACCGTTTAGAATCCACTTTGTATACTGATTAAACATGTAAAATTGAAGATGAGAAATATATTATATTAGACTGTCCTTTATATGCAGATTTACGTGAAAGTTTATTTTATGAAGTTAAAAGAAGTAATGGTGATTTTAATATTACATCTGATGATGATAAGTTTATGCATCTTTTTAAAAGTACTGTTTTTGGTGTGGTTGACAAGACCTGCTGTAATATTCTAAGTAGAAGAAATTGTTTTTTATATGCTTGATTGATAGTGATGTTTTTGCAGACCTGAAATATTTTATAAACATGATAAATGCAGTTATATGGTGCTTTTTGTATTTCTGTCTGTTATATTTTTTACTTCTATGTAATATCGTATTTTCTATTCTTATTTTAGCTCATCTTGCGTCCGTCGTCGTTGGCTTTTACAAAAAAATCCTCTCCTCTGAAATCACTGGGCCAAATTTTAGTTATAGAACGATAATTTTGTTCAACCGAAATACTTTTAATGGGTACACATACTAGATTTACTAAGGATAAGATTATAAGAGTTTTATTTAGGAGCAAGAATATATGGTTTACATTATTTTTTAAATGCATCAGTGTTATATTAATAACCTAATTGAATTTTATAATTATACAAGATACACATATGGCGGAGAATGACAATAAAAAAAAACAATGACATCCGTAATAAAGGTAACTTTGATAGAAGACAATTTAATATGATTATTATCTTTTTGAAAATAATATTAACCTCTTGAAGTCTTTCTATATCACTTCTATAATCGGGTCTTGAAGAATATGTTTTACTCTAAAATGTCTTTCAAGGTATAATGATAGTATGTAAACTATAGAGTTGTAAATGTGGAAATGAAATCTAGTAAATGCCAAATTTGTTGGTAATTCGTATACTAGTAAAATTAGAAGAAACGGGGATGTTGTGTGACTCGTGTCTGTGGATTGGATATTAGGAAATGATAATGAAATGATATCCTCCTGGGCCTATGCCATGTTTAATACACGTGATTTGCGTTATCGTTATATACGAGACAGTCCATGCAAAACGGTACAAAAAGTCTTGTTGAACTTTACAGATTACGATATTTAAGTTCGATATAATATTTTCAAAGAAACAGCTGCGCCATGAGCGCATGATACGCCCGTCGTCTTGTGTGTGAATTGTTATTCAATGATCATAAATAGTTTCTGACATACGGCCTGACATGTGAAAACCCCCTTTTTTTTAACAAAAAACTCAATATCTCTAAAATAAAATTTTGAATCAAAACCAAAAAGTATACAGATCTTTAGATAAATATAACTAAGAAGTGTGTAAAATTATAAGCAATAATCATAAATCGTTTTTGAGATACGGCGCGACATGTGAAAACCCCCCTTTAAAAAAAAAATCAATATCTCAAAAATAAACTTTTGAATCAAAACCAAAAAGTATACAGATCTTTAGATAAATATAACTAAGAAGTGTGTAAAATTTAGTTTCCCCATAATTCTCAAATCTGTTAACCCCATTCACATACTTATAAATGGTGGTCCCATTTATAGCCTCATACATGTAAATGATAATTATAACAACTTGAAACAAAACACACACAAATATTAGTGTATGCATGGGCTTTAAGAGAAATATTAGTCCCCGAATCTGTTAAAATGTAGATCTTAATAAGAATATAATAGCAGTTTATCTATGATTTTGCATTTATTCTTAATAAAATGTCAATTCATTGTTTTCTGGATTTAAGGGGGGGAGGGTGAAGAGAAGGATGGGCGGAGTTTTTTTGTTGTTTTTTTTTTTACAAATTGTTTATTTCCTTTGAATATAAGGGACGAAAAATACTTCATTTCGGTAAAAAAAATTTGGTTTCATTGTATTAAAAATAAATAGATTAATTTGTTGCTGAATAATTTCACAAAAAAAAGACAATTCGAAACAAAATATGATTATGTTTAACCTCGCCGCATTTTTGCACCTGTCACAATTCAGGAGCCTCTGGCCTTTGTTAGTCTTGTATAATTTTAATTTTAGTTTCTTTTATATATTTCGGAGTTGAGTATGACGTCCATTATCCCTATATTCATTCCCAATTTCATGTACAAGAAAATTAAATGTGAGTACTCTACTTTAGTAGAAGACATGTTTCATATATTATTACAGCATCAACATTCTTAAAACTTAAAACTAATGTTTGGGCACTTGCTGATTTTCTTTGATTTTGCCGAAAATCGGTGACCCGTAAGACACGTGTCAAAGAGCATATCTGATAACACTATTATCTTGAAAAAATGAAAAAATAATTATTTTGCATGAGAAAATAACCCATTAGATATGTTTGCCATAAAAATACATTGGAACTTATTATTGTTTTTTTTAATTCAACATCTATAGTTGAAAATCTTAGGTGTTCATCGGTTAATTGAATGATAGAATATAGAAATTGTTTTAGTTTTTTTTTAATAAAATAAAATGTTTCCCCTTTCGAGATTGGTCATTACATAAGTGTGTGCTAAAGTTTGGAGACCGAGGACTAACAGACTACGAACAGCAAAAAGTGGATACAACATTTGATATGCATGAAAGAACGTTGGACACACAATACTGATTTCACTGAAAAATTTCAACTAGCACATGATACCCTATGAATTTATTCACATACTTGAACTCTTTTAAGGAATATAATTATGGACAAAAACGAATTCAGTATATGTTAAATGGACAAACAAAGAACATCACTCATTGATGGATACACTTGCGGCTTAATTCATTTTTAAAGCACAATTTGAATGATTGATTAATGGTTGTTTAACGTCCAGTGGCAAACATTTCATACATGTTCAAGGCGAGAAGTCGTTTCAGAAATATATTAGGAATTATAAGGTATACCAAAATGTTAAAATGTTATCATCGTTTAGCAAAAGGAAATTTTCTTAGCTATTAGAATTGGTACGTCAATATTTTTCTTACAAACTTATACCTTTGCTTTAAAATTAACACATATAAGGTTCTGATCTTATTAAAACAATGTCACTTAAGTCTCGAGAATTATTTGTGTATTTGGGCTTTTGAACTCCGTTGCATTTGTTTGCATCTGCCCTAACCTGCTGTTTAGTGGTTGTTGTTTGATTATGTATTTCAAAAGTCGAATATATAGACCGTTAGTTTTTCCGTTTGAATGGTTCTACACTGGTCATTTTGGGGCACCTTATAGCTTGCTGTTCGGTGTTAGCCAAGAATTTGTGTTGAAAGCAGATGAGTAAAATTGTATAGTTCTACACGTATGAATTTAGTATTACACGTATGAATTTAGTAATGACTAGCAGAGCACTATCAGACTCAAGACAAACAGTGTTCATGTATATATGGTATCCGGTATACGAGTACGGGCGCATTTAAAACTGTTTAAGCTAAACGAAATTTTTATTTTCCAGGCGAATTAGACCATAAAAAAAAAGATATGTTTTAATGTGAATTTTTAAAAGTTAGGGACGGAATTGGTTCAATTAAATTTGCTTTACGTACCGTGGCAAATACTATTGCATATTCTCGACGAAATTACATTTTTGATCAGACGATACCTTCATATAGATTAATGTTTGCGTACAATATCTATTGGCACTCATCAAACATGCTCATTTTGGTCCCTTTATTGGCTATTAAATAACTACCAGCTTTCTCGTTTTATTTCAAGCAAAATATTTTTTTTTGTCACAGTCACTTTTTTTTTTATCTCAAGAGCTGCTGCGTGTTTACAAATAAAAAAAGAACTAATTATACTTTTCGCTGCATTTTAAAAATCTGGCATCATTAACTATAAAAAACTTAGTTTACACATGTATTTGTCATTATTTAATTTTAATGTGAATATTTGTAAGAGGTACATTTTTACTTTTCTGACTAAATCGATAACGCTCGGAACGGTTAAACGATAGATACACGCGGATGCTGTACCGCTTGAGTGATTTTCCGTACAAAAAGGCGGACACTTTAAAGTTTAAAAGGACTTAACATCAGTTTGATTCCTTTTATCGGGGTCGTTGCTAATTAGTTTGACGCAGTTTAACCACATCTCAAATAAACTTGAATGACCGCAAGGGAATCTTTTTGACTGGTATTAAAATGATTTTATATGGATTAAAATGCATTAAAAATAATTTTTAATTTTTGTCAATCTTTATTCAATTTTCATTAATCTTTTTTAAATGCCGTTAATGCGTTTTTGTCCGTTCAAACTAAATTCGAGTTACTAGTGTTGTGATACCTAAATAAAATATAAGATTAATATTCCAGACAAAAACGAAAACATAACTCAGACGTTTAACAAACTCTTTTGGTTTTTTTTCATTTTTAGATTCCTTCTATGTATGAAGTTCCACATATGGGACCACGGACCAACAACCAATGTGGACACTCAACTCAAGGATGTGATGGTGTGGATTCCATATGTGCTAGAGATCGTAATGGTCAATGCAATTGGCAAAATTGCTAAAGAAAAGTGACACAAAAGATCTTTGTTTTTGTAATACACTGTATTATTCTACTATGAAATAAACAAACATCACAATTATAGTATTTAAATCTAAAGATAGGATTGGATATATATATCAACGTATCCATGTTTTCTATGAGCGTTAATGAAGATGATTATCTGTGTTTCATTTATGAGTTCAATTTACAGTTTGTGGAGCGATAGATTGTTTATTAACCTCCATTCAGATAAATGATTTAATAGCTAGGGAGAAACTGTAAACAGTAAAACTGCCCAACACAATATGCTCTCCACATAAGGCAACATAAACAAAGTCAACAATAGACTCCGTATTGTAGTAGCTGCCTTCAAATGACAACTTGTACTCTTTTTATATGTTTTCTCCGAAAACTGTAAAGGCAGAAAGACAGAAATTGTAAAATGAAGAATTGTCATCAAAATTTAGGCCATATGTTATTGGACTAATCGTCGGTTGACTCTTTGTTAGAGGTAACCCCCGCCCCTTTTCAAGATTTACATGTTGTATTTTGTTTACTGTTGTTTGTCTTTTGTCCTTTTTTGTCATGGCGTTGACTTATGAGTTTGAATGTGCCTTTGGTAGTTTTCGCCTCTTTTTATCGACCGTGAATATAAATTGAATATAAACAGCAGTAGATAATAAGGGAAAGCTATAAATAGCAAAATTGTCAAAACACTAAATTCTACATACAAGTGAAAGTGATTGCACTCTTCAGTCGGCTCGTAAAAGGCGTCGTTGCCCTTACTCTGACTTTTTTGGGGGGATTTTAACCTTATATATTGAAAGCTATAATAAATAGACTGATACTGATTAGTAACACAAGATCTATACATACGTTAATATGAAGGATTTTTTTTCAACTCACTATGTTTATCCATTTGGTCTTTTTTTTACCTTATCTTTTAATATATAATGGGTAAACAGAAAAATTGCTCCAGCAACATTTATCAGCAAAACAAAATTTTGACCAAACAATTTTCAAGTACAACTAACAAAAAATCATGTGTCGAAGACTAAAATATCAAGTAGTACACATTCAACATCCTATGAATTTAGTATAAAGACGTCATATGCAGTGAGAGATAAAGAATGATCTTCGGGAATGACAAACTTTAAGTATTGACAGGTTGTAAAACTGTGAATGTACATATGTGTATAACAATGATATTTTTGTTTAATTTATTGATAACAAAATCAATAGTTATACCGATAAAACAATATTCAAAGATCTTATTGCAGTGTTGAATTAGAAACCTTTTAGAATAGGTTTATTCAAAGATCGAGAAGTTTACGCGGATCGTATCTTAGTTTACGGGCTCAGTAAACAACATCACCGTAAAAAACTAGGATGTGCTTGTTATACGTCTTGTACACCTAAACTTCTAAATTAAATCTTTGTATCTTTGGCATAAGTTAGTAAAAGGCTAAGGTAATATTTGGAAACGAAATTTTTGACTCAATGATTTTTGTGTATGGTTTCCCGTCTAAATCTGAAGTGTCTAGGAAAGGACAGTTATTACCGTTTATGTTTGATTTATTTAAAGTAAGTTTTTTTTAAGTAAATTTCGGCAAATCAATTCAAAAATTCTTGATTATTAAAGGAAAAAAATCATCATGATAACCGTAAGTGTTTGTGAATAAATAAATTAAATGGAAATGAGACGGGTTTTTATTTGTCTGACTGATAATGTTTGCTGCATGTACATAGTGTCTTTCTAGCTTTAATATTTTTCAAGATTAAAGCCAACAAAAAAAAAAACAAACGACAAAGAATAAAAATAGTCGTTGGATAGTTGTCTTATTTGCAATCATACCTCATATTATTTTATTCAAGGGTAACAACTCTCAAAGGAATAACTAATTTATTTGTTGGCTCCTATTTTGCTGGCATGTCTTCTTTTCACAATTTCTCTCTTTTTGTTATTATAGGTTAGAAGGAATCATATACAAAGGGTCAAGATCACAATTCAAAGGGCAGCTACTCCAATAAGGACTCTATTGCCAATTGCCATGTTGACTTCTTTGTAGGGCTTATTATGATGGTCTGTTTTACTATTTTACGTTTTTCTCAATCTCTTTAACATTTTCGGTCCCTATACATCCTTGACTTTCATATATTTGGCTTTGAGTGTTCCTGATGAAGGTAAATCCAGAAAAGCGCTTCGGACGCATGAAATTTATAACGTGTTGTTTTCATTTTTTTTTAAACATTTATTTGTATGGAGGATAATACACAATCCGTATCACTTACAGCCGTACAGTCAACTGCAGAAATGAAAAACAGAACTTACCTCATTACCGATCTCAATTATCATGATTATAACCAAAAACTTAAAAAATTTCTGAAAACGAACATTCAGTGGCAAAGAGTCAAAACGGGTGATCGAAATTTTTAACAAGTGCATGACCTGTTTAATGTTTTTCTTGGTAGGTTATGCTTTGACTGCTTACACTTTTACGATATAATCCAAACACTGCAAATTCTACAATTCAAACCAGTTCATCAAACATCCGCCATGTTTGTTGATTGATCAATAGATATAAGAAGATGTGGTATGAGTGCCAATAAGTTAACTCTCCATCCAAGTAACAATTTGTAAAAGTAAACCATTATAGGTCAAAATACGGCCTACAACACGGAGCCATGGCTCACACCGAACAGCAAGCTATATAGGGCCCCACAAATGACTAGTGTAAAAACATCCAAACAGGAAAACCAACGGTCTAATCTATATAAAAACCAGAAAAGAGAAACACTTATGAACCACATCAACAAACGACAACCATTGAACATTAGTTTCCTGATATAATTTGGTCAAGAATTTTTGAGAACATTATGAAAACCACGTGATATCATACGATCGCATGGCCCTCCGACTTGGTTGAGCTTAGACCGATACTTGTTTATATTTTACAGTGGATCAAATATAGCAAAAGTTAACGTTGTATACATACATGTCATTCAGTACGGAATGTATTACCACATAAAAACTTCTTTGCTCAACTGATTTTTACTATTTGTAACATGTGTAATGCTTCAGATAAGATATTTTGAAATCTTAATGGGTTTTTAGTTTACCGACTTCTGACTTGCCTTTTGACGTTATATCTTTCTTCATTGCTTTTTGCGGTTTTCGGCTAATTGTTTATATACCTCTGTAACAATTTCTGTCAGATCCATTTTTATTGGTACGCTAAAGGATTTTATGATCATCAAATTGATTTTCTATACAAATACTATGGTCCGATAAACCAGAGAGACTAAAATGAAGGCGTTTTGCTGGATTTGTGATATTTTGTTTATCATCAGTTTTCTCCGTAAATGTTGATTCCTCGGCATACCTGTTTTATTTTTTATTTTGCTGATAGTTTATCGACTTTATTTGCTGTTATTGCTGAGACATATTTGATTAGGCGAATTAAACTATATCTGTGATATTGAAAGTTCATTTTATATGTACATGAAAACATTTCCTAATTACTATTCACTGGATTATCAATTGTATAGCTCTAAATTTAAACTGCTACATGAATAATTAAAGTTCTATCATTTTGTTGTTGGTAATTATCAATTCACAGCATTGGTAGCAACATCGATGTAACACTGAAACGTCAAAAATATCTCTTTATGCATAACAAAACACTAATTTCAATAACTTCACCTCAAACCTTTATGTGCGCCACCTTTTTGGAAAGAAGAATGACAAAATGTCATTAATAGAGACATCATTTAAAGTACTAGTAGGTAATGTATAACGACGATGACATGACTGCGTAGTGAAACAGAGTTTAAAATATTCATCACATTCGCCAAGCTACAGGAAGGACTAAATACAATACCTAAACCGTCAATTGCTTTATTTCAGCCATATGTGGTAACAGTTCCAAATTCTCTAATCTATCAATATTCCTGCTGAAAACACCTATATATCTTACCCCAGTGATTTTGACATGTTTCAATGTTTAACAAGTGACTGCTTAACAAAGTATGTTGATTTGGAGAGCAGAGCAGAGGACCATCAAATAAAGGTGTAAAAGCTATGGAGTTATTGAATGTTAACAAAGAATTAAATTTTCAAAGAACTTATTGTTTGAAAAGAGGATTTTTGTTCCCTCGAGAATCCGCATCACAAAAGGCTTCTCAGGATGTGCTAAATTACTGCTTTCTCATTCGTCGGCAATGATCTTAAGTAATCATGTGTTGTTGTCATAGCTGTTACATAACGTCAGTTTCAAATGGGATTGATGGTAAATCAATGCACACTAATAGTGCTTTTTAATATAATATTGTACTTTATAGCATACATTCAATAGACAATATTCATATGCGAGTATAAAGTTTTTATGACTATTAGTTGTCTATAAAACTAGTGTTTAGTGAGTTTTAGCTTATTGTTTTTTGTCTGTAACCTTTAGAATAGAAGAACGCCAGAATAGATCATCCTTTTGGATTTTGAAAAATGAAATAAATGTCACAAATTGTTTTTATTACCACGAATTATTTATGTTCCTTAATAAGACTTAACTAATCAAATATTAAATTAATGATTCGTCTATTTATTGTGTAATATGAATGCAAAGCGACAAATCATGCCGACGGTTTTATTTTACTTCCAGTCCAAATGAGATTTAAAAAAGAGATGTCCTTTTCAATAGAGAAAATGATTTTCCAGGGTATAATAAATATATACTAAATGAAATTTAACAATCTCACGGATGGTATCACAATTTTTAGACATCAAGAGTATTTCCTCGTATAATAAACAAGCCAAATGCACCCCCAATCAAAACATTCACTCTTCAATACATGGTGATCTGGTGTAATGTACTACAATAATAAACCATGTAAGTCAAATCTATTTCACAAGAAATGACGTTGTGCATCTGGTATAGTTTTGAACAATACAGTTGCAGTACATATAAATTTAAATCCATATGAAGGTCTGATACAAAATGCACTTTAAAAGCTATGTCACTCCTGAAATGATTTTCAAATGTCTAACGATACTTCTCACAAATTGGACGATCATTACAGTGTATGGCGCCCCATCTTATTA